AAAAAAAAAAAAAAAAAAAAAAAAAAAAAAAAAAAAAAAACAGAACCTGACTCAAAAAGTAGGAAACAAAGAAAAGAGAGATGCTCTTCAGAAGCTAATATAAGTAAAAGGGTTTTGTTTCCTGCTGCTTTTCAAAGCAATGACAGAATCCACAGAATCTTTCAAATAAGTTGTCTTGTGCTGATAACTTAACAGTAATATTTCAGGAACCAAATAACAGTGCTAGTAAAATATAAAATTACTCACCAAAATAAATATTATTTCATCTCTCCTCCTTACAAATTCTACCATTTACCTTCATTCCTATTCAGCTTAAAGAAAAACAAGCATATAAACCCTATGCTTATTTGGCTGTTGTAAGGTACATATTAAATGCAATGATTTTCTACAAGTGGTTCTACAAGGAAATTTTAAGAAATCTATAGACATTCAAAATATATAAAACAATTTAAGTCTCAAGGTTTACTGATAATTTTGTTTTTTTGAAAAAAGACATTTAAGTATAAAGAAACTGGCATAAACCTGAACCAACCAAATAAAGATTAATGATTTGTAATTCTACCACACAAAACAAATTCAGTTCAAATTTTAAAAATTTAAGTACATTTTTTTAGATTTAGGATTCTATTTGCAGAAGGACTAATAAAAGATAACATACGATTTTCAAAACTTATGATTTTTAACATTTCTGGGTATACAAAATTGAGCCCAAATGTTAGAAGTGATCATTGATATGCTCTTCCCTTTTTGTGAAAAAAAATAGAAATAAAAATAACAGCTGCTTTTGCCATAGGTTTGTTGCATTTCTAGGAAAAAAAGACATTCCAGAGATTGTTGAAAATTTCAATAATCACGCTAGAGCAAAAAGTTCAAAATGTCATTTCTGGGTTACTCCTAAAGTTTGCTTCATATTTTCATAAACCACGTAACTGATGCCTACAGCAGGGAGCACCTTCATGAAGTTTGGGGTGATGCCTCTGTAAAGTCCTGTTATTCCTTCTTTGGAAATTATTCGTCGAAAGAGGCCCCCCATGTTCAGCGGTGGGGCTCCTTCCACCATAGCTAGAAAAGAAAAAAAGGAGCCGACCTAATTTTAAGATTCAAGCATGTTTCATTGTTATTACAATAAACAATTATTATTCAGAATGATATTCCAGAATACAATGAAATGATAAAATTTATTAAGTGCCCCTTCATACGATTCTCTTTGTGTCACACCTAATGGTGAGTGCCTTGACTACAATAATAACGGTAATAACACTTGTTTATTGAATAATTACTATGTGGTAGATACTGGGTTAATTACTATCCATACCAATCCTGCAAGGTAAATATTATACCCATTTTATAAATGAGGAATTGGAGGCTTAGAAAGATGGAGAAACTTGTCCTACTACTTTCCCACTACTTAGTGACTTTCTACCAAATCCTCCTCCCCATTAGCCAAGAGCCGAAGAGAGAAGAGTTAAATCTTGGGGAATATGGGGAAAGCTTTGGGGAGCGTCGGAAAAGCATAGGGGACCTGGGCCTTAAAAATGAGCTCAATCGGCAAGAAAGAGAGTGAGAGAAAGTCTGTGTTGCTGGCACAACAAAAACAAAGAAAGCATCGATGTGCTCCAAGGACACAGCTGACTGTTGGGTGTGAAAGGAGAGGCTGCAGGTGGACAAAGCAGGGGGCAGGGAATGGAGATGAAACTAAAAATAAAGCAGAGACAGATTATTAAGGGCTTTAAAATTCCCACTAAGAACTTTGGATTTACTCTGAAGACAACTGAAGAGTTACAAAGATGTCTGAACAGATGTAAAATGATCAGACCTTGCTTGATGTTAGAAATGACAAACCTATTACCTATGCAAAAGTCTGGATTGGAGGTGGCAGACAGGAGGGGGGAGACTTGTTAGGCTATGGTTTGAATCAGGCTGCCTGGGTTTGAATTCTAGCTCCACAATTTACCAAATGTATAACCTTGTGGAAGTTACTTAATCTCTCTTTGCCCAGTTACTTATATCTGCAAAATGGGGAAAATATCAGTCATGCTCCCAAGAGGGTTAGACGGTTAAATGAGAGAATACACATGAAAAGTTTAGTTTACTACTTTGCATTTTTCTCTGCAGCTATATGATCGATCGTCTTCCAGCTCCTCAAATATACTGTTTTCTCCTGCCTCAGTGGCTTCACAGATGCCTCCCTCAGGCTGGATGTGACTTCTCTTCCCATTCCACCCACCTGTGCCCAGCTAACTCCCACCTTTCTTTCTAGTCTCAGTTTAATTGACAGCATCCTCCAGCTGCCAAATTAGGTTACAGCCACTTGCTCTGTGCTTCTCTAGCAAAGGGGAGATGGTTAACAAGGTTGTTTACTTGCTGGGAACATGCCTTCTCCAATCTACAATTGCAGGGACCACATCTGACATGTTCATTGCTCTAACTCTAGGATCTGGCAGAGTGTCTAGCACCTGAAAAATGGCTCAGGAAGTACTTGTCAATTAATGATTGACTGGTTGGTCGGGGGAAGGGTAGCTGGCCCTTGGAAAAGAGGCTGGGGGTGGAGCTGTAGATGCGAGGGTGCACTAGTTAAAGAAATGACAGTGGATGGGACTGCCCAGGGAAAGAGTAAAAGAAAAGAAAGACACAGAATGCATGCTTTAATGGAGTGGGTATAGCAATAAAAGCCAGCAAATAGTAAGAAGAGAATAACCAATGAGATGGCAGAAGAACCAGGAGGGTACAGTGTTATCAAAGCCAACAGTGTTACAGTGAGGAGGAATCACAGTTCAAAAGATGTAAGTTCTAAACAGCACTAACGATAAAAAAACTCCAGCCCCCCACTACCAAGAATTTCACAAATGCCAGATGCTTTACTATATTGTTGCTAATTCTTACAACACTGCACAATTTTCATTCCCATTCACAGATGAGAAAATGAAAACCCAGGGAGGTGTAGGGCAATGATCTGAACCCAAATCCATCTAGATACCAAAGCATATACTCTTAAACCATGCATTCAACACAGTCCAAAAAAAAATGTTTATGTATGAAGCATACATATACATACAGTGCATATGCAGTGTATATGTGGCATTAAAATTTCATGAAGAGGGAGCAATTAGGAAAAGAATTTCTGAAAGTGTTCTTTAGGGAGGGAATAATGAAAAAAAGGTTGAGAAATACTATCTTAAAACTATACTCTGCTGTCTCAGTAGAACCTGAAGTTCAAAAGCATGTTATTGATGTGGCACTTGTATCAGTGTCATGCTGTCAAAACTTACCTTGAGCCTGCATGCGAGTTCTTATCAAAGCCAAGGGGTAACTGGCCAGCTGGCCACAGGTGCTGGATAAGGCACCGCATCCCAGCAACACCATGACTCCGGGGTTTACAGAGTCCTTTGCAAAATTATCTAGCCAATGGGATTTCAAGAGCTGCCACAGAAACAAAGAAGAAAAATAATGAACAACTAACTTCACAACTGTTTTCACTCAATGTGAACATTTTCACAAATATTCTCATCCTTATGAGAGACGGGTCACATTTCTGCAAGGTGGGTGATGTGTTCCCAGGAGCAACAGACACTGCAGGAGGCAGCAGCCCTGTGGAGAGGTGGGGAAGCCACTGGGGATTCAGAACATGTGAGGTTTGCACTGGGTGCTCATTTTCTTCTAGACAAACATGAAGATCAACAGCATACCAAATGTAGGATATAAAGAACATCTCTTACAGGGAGTATTAATAAACTAATATTATTAATAATATTAAATTATTATTAAAAAACCACCAATTGTATATCATTTTACACTTTACACACATATCATTTCATTTGGCCCTTACAAAAACTCTGACATGGATCTATTTTGCTGATTTTGTAAATGAGGAAAATTTATCTCAATGGAGTTTTTTTAACAATGGCACAGAATCAGGTGTGCTGGTCCACAGGTCATGCTTTTTCCTCTGTTATTTTAGGTCTTTTTATTTCATTAGAAGGCAGTAACTGGGAGAATTTGTATAATATGCATATGTTAATCAGCTTTTTAACCATAAATATTTTAAGCACAAAAATAAAGTTTATGTGTGAAAAAAAGTATATAACTACTTAAAATTTTTTAATCCTGTAAGATTATCAGCAGATTTCTCAATGGAAACACTGTAGGCTAGAAGGAAGTAGAATGTTATATTCAACATGCTGAAATAAAAAACTGCCCACCTAGCAGGAAAATGAATCAAAAGCACAAGGCCATTTAAAATAGTCACCAAGAAAATAAAATACCTAGGAAAAAACTTAACCAAGCAGGTGAAAGATCTCTACAATGAGAACTACAGATCATTGCTGAAAGAGATTAAAGAGGATATAAAAAGATGGAAAAACATTCCATGCTCTTGGATTGGAAGGATTAACATTGTGAAAATGTCCATACTATCCAAAGCAATCTACAGATTCAATGCAATACCCATGAAAATACCAATGACATTCTCCACAGAAATAGAAAAAACAACCCTAATATTCATATGGAACAACAAAAGACCTCAAATAGTCTAAGCAATCCTAAGCAAAAATAAATAAATAAATAAAGCTGGAGGCATAACACTACCTGACTTAAAATTATACTACAAAGCTATAGTAAACAAAACAGCATGGTCTTAGGGCCGGCCCGGTGGCGCACTGGATAGTGCGCCACTTGGGAAGCGCGGCTGGCGCTCCCGTCCGAGGGTTCGGATCCCACATACAGACCGGCTCCCGCTCACTGGCTGAGCGAGGCGCGGGAGCAACACCGAGGTTTGCAATCCCGTTGCCGGTCTCCGGTCCGGTACGGGAGCAACGCTGAGGGTTGCGATCCATTGCCGGACACGGAAAAAAAGCTAAAAGACAAAAAAAAAAAAACAGCATGGTCTTAGCATAGTGGACCAATGGAACAGAACAAAAAATCCAACAATCAACCCACATACTTACAGCCAACTGCTGTTTGACAAATAACATACATTGGGGAAAAGACTGCTTCTTCTATAAACAGTTCTGGGAAAACTGGACATCCATATGCAGAAGAATGAAACTAGACAAATACCTCTCACCATATACCAAAATCAACTCAAAATGGGTTAAAGACTTAAATTAAGACTTGAAACTATAAAACTCTTTAAAGAAACTATAAAACTCTTTAAAGAAGCACTTCAGGAAGTAGGACTGGCCAAAGACTTTATAAATATGGCCACAAAGCACAGCAACAAAAGAAAAAATAAACAAATGGAATTATATCAAACTAAAATGTTCCTGCATGGCACAAGAAACAATTTAACAAAGTGAAAAGAGAATCTATAGAATGGGAGAAAACATTTGCAAAGTATGCATCTGACAAGGTATTAAAATCCAGAATATACAAAGAACTCAAAAAAACTTAAAAGTAATAAAACAAGTTACCCATTTAAAAAATGGGCAAAGGAGCTAAACAGGCATTTCTCAAAGGAAGATATACAAATGACTAACAGACACATGAAAAAATGTTCAACATCACTAATCATCAGGGAAATGCAAATCAAATCCACACTGAGATATCATCTTATCCCAGTTAGACTGGCAATTATCAAAAAGACAGAGAATAACAAATGATGGCAAAGGTATGGAGAAAGTGGAACTCTCCTCCACTATTAGTGGGACTGCAAATTAGTGCAGCCATTATGGAAAACAGTACAGAGGTTCCTCAAACAACTGCAGATAGAACTACCATATGATTCAGCAATTCCACTGCTGTGTGTATACTCAAAGGAAGGGAAATCATCGTGTTGAAGGGACACCTGCACTCCCATGTTTACTGCAGGTCTATTTACAATAGCCAAGACTTGGAACCAACCTAAATGTCCACTGATGGACAACTAGATAAGGAAAATGTAGTATACATACACAATAAAATACTATTCTACAATTTAAAAAAAAAACGAAATTCTGCCATTCACAGCAACATGGATGAACTTAGAGAAACATGTTAAGTGAAATAAGCCCCGCACAGAAACAGAAATACCGCATGTCCTCATTCATAAGTGGGAGCTAAAAAAATAAACAACTAAAGAAAGAAAGAAAGATACAACAATCACAATAATTTATTGAACTTTCAAAATGAAAGAATAGAACTGAGGCCAACAGAGGTGGGAAAGGGGGACAGGGAGGGAGGGTGTTAGTGAGAAATAGGTAAAGGGCCACAAAAAATTATTACAATGTGTAAGGCTAAATATACTAATTATCCAATTTGAACATCACATATTGCACACAGGTATTGATATTCAATGCTGTACCCCACAGAGATGTATAATCAATTATGTTTCAATAAAAAAATAAATACAATTTTAAAAACAGCTTGCCCGCCAAGAATAGTGTATTGGAAAAATTGTGTTTCAAAAATGAAGGAGAAATTAGACCTTTCCAGATAAACAAAAGCTGAAAGAGTTTATCATCACCACTAGACCTGCCCTAAAAGAAATGCATAATAGAGCCATTCACATTGAAACAGAACAGTAAACCGCAACCAAAACTACATGAAAATATAAAACTCCATGGCAAAGGTAAATATATAGAAAATTATAAAATCCTGTAGTATTGTAATGCAGTTGCATAAATAACTTTGAAATCTGGTATAGAATTTAAAAAGCAAAAGCATAAAAAGTAACTACAATCTATGTTAATGGATATGCAGCATAAACAGAGGTAATTTGTGTCATCAATAACAAAAAGTGGAGAAGGGGGGACGGACACGAAGGACTGGAGTTTTTAATACAACTGAAGTTAAGCTGTAATCAGTTTAAAATAGAAAGTTATAACATGAACACGTTTTATGTAACGCCAATGATAACAACAAAGCTAACAGCTGCAGAATACAGTTGACCCTTGAACACCGGTTTACACTGTGAAGGTACACTTATACACGGATTTTTTTTTAATAAATATATTGAAAAATTTTCTTTTGATAAATATATGTCATGAATGTGTGACATACCTAGCCAAATAGTTAAGTAGCCTACCTAACAGAAGGCTATTAGTAGTTAAGTAGGTAAGTTTTGGGGGAGTCAAAAGTTATACATAGATTTTCAACTACCATCTGATGCGGCAATCCCACTTCTGGGTATAGATCAAAAGGAATTGAAAACTGGATCTCAAAGAGATATTTGCACTTTCATGTTCATTGCAGCATTATTCACAATAGCCAAGATGTAGAAACAACCCAAATGTCTATTGACAGATGAATAGATAAACAAAATGTGGTATATACATACAATTGTATATTATTCAGACTAAGAAAAAAAGGAAAATCCTGTCGTGTGCTGCAACATGTCTCAACCTTGAGGACCTTATGTTAAGTGAAATAAGCCAGTCACAAAATGACATATATTGCATGATTCCACTTATATGAGGTACCTAAAGTAATCAAACACAGAAAAAGAGAGGAAGTTACGGGGTCTGCGGGTGAGGGAGAAATAGGAAGTAGTTGTTTAATGAGTATAGAGTTTCTGTTTTGCAAGAAGAAAAAGTTCTAGAGATCTTGTTAAAGTTCTAGCAATCCACATATAGTTAACACTACTGTATTATATATTTTAAAATGGTTAAAATGGTAAGTTTTATGTTGTGTTTTTTACCAAATTTTTTTTAAAAACTTAATACAAGAATTAAAGTCCTAAATCACAATGAGATAACACTTCACACCTACCAGGATGGCTATAATAATTTTTAAAAAAAATTTTAAGAAGGAAAATAACAAGTGTTAGTAAAGTGAAAAAACTGGAACCTTCGTACATTGCTGGTGGGATTGTAAAATGGCGCAGCCACCCTGGAAACGACTAAACACAGAATTACCATATGACCTAGCAATTCTATTCCTAGGTATATACCCAAAGAAGCTGAAAAGCATAAGCTCCCATGAGTACTAATATGGCAATGTTCATTGCAGCATTATTCGCAATAGTCAAAAAACAACCCAAGCCTTCATCAACAGATAAATGGATAAATAAAATTTGATACATACACACAATGGAATATTATTCAGCCATTTAAAGGAATGAAGTTCTGATACATGCATGCTACAACACACATGAATCTTGAACACATTATGCTAAGTGAAGTAAATCAGATCACAAAAGGACAAATATTATATGATTCTACTTAGGGAAGGGAGGGTAAGAAGTTGTTGATTAATGGTTAAAGAGTTTCTCTTTGGGGTAATGAAAAAGTTTTGAAAATAATGTAGATGGTTGCACAATATTGTGAACGTAGTTAATGCCACTGAATTGTACAAGTAAAAATGGTTAAAATGGCAAATTTTATATTTTACCATAATTTTAAAAAATAAAATAATGTAATATACCAAAAGCCATCTTTGTACACTTTAAATGGATGAAATGCACTATATGGAATATATCTCAATAAAGCTATTTTATTAAAAAAGTAAAGCCCTCTAAAAAAGCTTTCACTGCACATTCCACCCCTCCCCTCTGCCACAGGTCTGGTCACCTCTATTATGTGTCCTGGCTACATCTATCCCGGCACAACAAACCACACTGTGCTTTAGGTGTCTGCTTGTCCATCTCCCCCTCAAACCTTCAGTCTCTTAAAGGAAGACACTGAGTTCTCCCTTGAATCCTTAGACGCAGGGTCTAACCTACTGGCTTGCACATAATACGTACCCAATAACTAACTATTCCTCAGATTCATAAATTATCAAAAGATTTAGATGGCAAGATTTGTATTCCGAGTTGTCTCTTCAGTACAAAGGATGAACCTGTGCTACCCACATTAGTTACTTGGCTTTATCAATGTCAGATTTTAAGAAATCAAAGAAAATGTGACAGTTTTGTTTATTTTATCTAGTTCCAAAACAATTCCTAGTACCATCTTCTAAGCTACACAAGTATTTCTACATTTGAGTTTACTCTCTCCATTAACAAAGATAATTCACAAGGAAATCTAGTATAAAAGTGACCCCGTGCATATTCATATTCAAGGTACTTGTGAAAAAAAGATCCAAAAACACACCCTTGAATCTACTTTTGGTCACAAACCATTTTCTGGTATTTTTCTACTTCTTTATATAAAGTTATATTCTAACAATAAGAGCTATTTAATTATATTTTCATCTTTAAATTATTGCTATAAACTCACCTCATACACAGCAAGATCTATGCCTGCATAAGGTATGATGCCTAATAAATTGGGAATATAACCTTTATAAAAAGCTCCCAAGCCTTCATGCTTCAATATCTTTTTTGCACAATCATATATTCCAGAGTATTGTCCAGTTTTGCCCACAGCTAGCCTGGTTTTCATAACCTGGATATGAAAAAACATAACAAAATATTATTTTTCATTAACTCTGTCATCACATCATTCCAAAAAGTAATTTTACAAAGAACAAATATCTAGCACATATTGTTATTCAAATGACGACCCAATTTGTTGATATATTCTCTGTCACGTATTCTCTCTACTGAAGGGCTAAGACCAGAGCCGTGGAGACCTGTTTATTGCAAAGAGCATCTAAATGAGGGTAGTGACAGAGGAAATGGAGACAAGATAATCTATTGATGTGTTAACAAAATTGACTGGTGACCAAGTAGGTATAAAGGTGAAGAAAATGGTGGTGTAAGGGATAACTCTGGTGTTTCTAGCTTGGAACACAGGATTGGAGCAGTAGGAAGCTGGGAAGCTGATGCTAGTAATTGATATGGAGGCTATAAGAGGAAGAATAGATACCGAGTTAGGATACTTTCTTGAGGGGTGTGTGGAGCAATATAAACAATCATATCAAGACGTTTGCAAAGAAAGCTATATTAGCATACATACCATAAAGCAGTGAAAGCTAAGGGTGTATCTTGTTTAGGTCTTATCAGTTACTTAAAAACGTTTTGTTATATCAATAAAGATACCCACATCTGTAGATATCCACATCTACAATATTATTTTTACTCTAGAGCAGGAGTTGGCAAACTTTTTCTGGAAAGGCAAGAGAGTAGATATTTTAGTCTTTGCAGGCCTTAAATACCAGGTCTCTGTTACATATTCTTTGTTTTTCTTTTGTTTTGTTTTTACTCGTCTTTTAAAAATGAAAAAACCACTCTTAGCTTGGGACTATACCAAACAGTCCACAGGTCTGTAGTTTACCAACTTGGGCTCTAATGGAAGGATATCTAATTAGTTTTACCATCATACAATCAAATACTGAGGGGCTCCATTATTAAATTTACGGTACAGAAACTCTTTAGAAAGAAATAAGAGTTTTTGTTCTCATCAACACTGGCAGCCAGCCTCTGAGACGGCTCCCAATGACGCTTGTCTCCTGAAATGCACATCCTTGTGTAGTGCCCTCCCACACTGTACCAGGGTTAGTCTGTGTGGCCAGCAGAATACAGATGAGTGCCAAAAGACGGCAGCTTCCATTTCGGGTGTTCTCTCTCTCTCTCTATCAGATCACTTGACAGTACAGAGAAGCCAGCTACCATGTTTTAAGGATACTTGGGCAACCTATAGAAAGGCCCACATGATACATATGCTGGTAACACCAAGGTCAAGGGTTCAGATCCCCTTACCAACCAGCTGCAAAGAAAAAAAAAAGGCCCAGTGATAAGGAACTGATGTTTCCAGCCAATCGCCAGTGAGTCTTGGCCACAGCCACATAAGTGAGCTTGGAAGCAGATCCAGCCCCAGTTGTGCCTTGAGATGACTGCAGCCCTGGCTGACATCTTGACTCTAGGCTATGAAAAACCATGAGTCAGAGGCACCTAACCAACTAAGCTGCTCCCAGATTCCTGACCCACCGAAACTGTGAGATAATTCATGCTTGTTATTTTAAACTGTTAATTTGGGGATAACTTATTACACAGCAATAGACTATCCAACACAAACACCATCGAGCAGTCAGACCTCACAACGGTTCTTACCTCCATGGGATAAATAAAAGTCTGTGCAGTTGCTCCAGCCATGGAACCAGAAATAAATCTCTCAGTGGTTCCTACTTTTTGTCCTTCCTCAGTAAGCAACTTCTTGTACTGTATGAATAAGTTTTTAAATGCACATTAACACCTGCTATGTAATGAATTATGTCCCCACAAAATTCATACGTTGAAGCTCTAACCCCTAATGTGATGGTGTTAAGAGACATGGGGCCTTTGGAGGTCATGAGGGTGGAGACCTCATGATAGGATTAGTGCCTTGATAAGAAGAGACACCAAAGAGCTTACCCTCTTTCTCTCTCTCTCCCCTTGCACATGCACCAAGAAAAGGACACATGAGTACTCAGTGAGAAGGCAGCTGTCTGCAAGCCAGGAAGAGAGCCCTCACTAGAAACCAAATGATGATGTCTCAAAGATGCATACACTACATTAGCAATATCTAGCAGAAAACAAGGTTTATATGCTAGTACATTCAGTTTACTGGACAAACTCCCTAAAAAAGGTATCTTCACTGTCCAATTTCCTTCACTTCCCATTCACTTTAGATCATTTCAGTATGGTTTCTTATCTCATTACTTCACTGAAACATTTATACTCAGCTTACTATCTCTGGATTGACAAATCTTAAAGGATACTTTTCTTATTGTATTCACCATCTGGTAGCACTTGACCCTTCATGAAACCGTCTTTTTCTGCTGACTTCTAGGCCTTCACTCCCTCCGGATTTCCTCCTGTGCCTCTGGCTACTCCTTCTCATTCTCCTTTGCAAGTTTCTCCTTCTACTTCTCCCTCTGGATTATTCCCAGAATTATTCTCATTCTATAAGCTTTTCTTGAATGATCCTGCCCATTCCCATGGCTTCAACTCAGCAACAACCTCTCTATCAAAGATCTCTTAATTTCTCAATGGTATATCCGCTTGCCTACTGGACAGTTCCCTGTACACATCCCAGTGGAATCTCAAACTCTGCATGTTCAACGTGGAATGTGACATTGTGTTTTCCATGTACACAGTTGCTCAAGTTAGGAACAAGAACATCACCCTTGATTCCTCTCTCTCACCTCCACATCCAGTCGGTCAGAGGGTTTTGTTTGGTTCTATTTCCAAAGTATTTTCAGTTAATTCCCTTCTTCTCCAATCCCTATGGCCATCACCTTACACTGGTGCTCATCTTTTCTTACCTGCCTTAGTGAAATATTTCCTTAAATCGTCTCCCTGCCTTCCGTCCAGCCTCACTCTCCTCCAGTACTTTCTTCACTCATTTTCCATATTGATCTTCCTTAAATGTAAATGTACTCATTTCACTTACCTACATATGATGCTTCAACACCCCCCACCATATTCAGGATAAAATCTAGACTCCTATTATGTTTAGCTCCTGCATGTCTGTCCAGCCTTCTATCGTCATTACCTTCCTAAAACTGTACTCCACTACACTTGAGGCACAGTGAACCACCTTCAGTTTCCTCAGCCAATGATGCTTTCTTGTGCCTACATTTCTGTCCACATGCTGCTCCTTCTGCTTGCAATACCCATCTTTCTCTTCATTTTAATGGGGTTGAGACTCAGGCAGGCTCGGGCTCAAATTTCAGTTTTGGCAATTCTGTCCTTTAATTCATTCAGTAAGGATTTACTGGCCCTGGCGAGGTACTAGGAATACAAAGCCGAAAACAAATAGCTATTGCCCAAGAAAGCTCACAGCTGCACAAGGGAGTGAGATTAGTACTGAGATCATCAGAATTCAGTGTGGAAGTGCTGTTACAGAGGGAAACAGCAATGATGCAGAAGGTCTCCTGGAGGAAATGACTCCTGAGTAAACTCCTGAAGGACATTCAGCACTGTATTAACATACAGAAAGTAGAACAGGGGGCGGGGGGTGGAAGGATGACTGTTGCACCATGCACGTGCTGAGTCTGAGGTGGATGTGCTGAGCCTGAGGTACTCCTGGGATACGCAAGCAGAGTTGTAGAGATATGCAGTGCGCAGGTGGATGCGTAGGTATAGAGACCAAGAGAAAGATAGAATGGAGGGCACTTAGTATGCAGTTGGCAGCTAAAACCAAGAGAACACTACACCACACTGCCACTCTGTCAGTGATACAGTGACACTGCTATGGTAATGACAACCCGAACAGACCACAATGCTATCCCAAATTGATGACATGTTTGAGAGAGCTACATACCTGGCTGAAAACATCCTTTTCTTCATTTTCTAAACTACTTGTTATTCAATGAACAGAACCTACCTGAACCTAGAGGTGAGCTAGCTAAGTACTCTGGGAAATTTGAGAATATATATTGCATAATATTTATTCTTAAGTAGTTTAGAACCCACTGGGAAAACAACGGGTTATCCATTATCCAATGGAAAATTGGCTATTCTGCAATTCAGCACTCTAAGGAGGCTGGGGAGGGGAGGCACTGGTTTTGGTTGGGATGCTTAGGAACCGCTTCTCAAAGGAAGACTCTTAAGAGACCCTTAGGGATGAATGGACCTTCAGCAGGAGGGGAGTAAACAAAGAGGCATCAGAGGCCCCCGAGACCATAAGAATGCTACACCACACTGTGTAGAGAGCGTTCTCTTGATGTCTAAGAAAAAGTTAGCACACAGAAATTAGAATACTGGAAAGAGGGCGTAGAAAGGAGCCTAGCTGGATGAAAGCAGAAGACACCTGTTGGCAGTTTCCAAGGTAAGAATTTGACAAGCAGCATGAAGTATAATGCACACATTTGCCTGCAATAACTATGGACCTTGAAAAATACCAAACTTCCTATATTGAAACAATGGCAATATTTTTAATTATTTATTTATTTTAGCCTTTGACATTTCTATCAAAAACACTAGCCCTTAAAAGTCATGATTTAAATCTTCAAACATTCACATAAGGAAACTTTCCTTCTCAAAGATGGGTTTTAATAGAAGTCCTGGAGGCTAGATTTTCTTCAATTTTTTCTTTGCTTCTCTATTTCTTAAGCTAGAAAAAAAACACCACTAAATTTTGTAATCTTCTCAAGAGTATTCTGTTGCTCAAGAACAAAACACTCTCCAGAATACTGTAAAATCTATTTGAAATAATACAAAAATATGGAGCGAAGTTAAATTTCAAGGCCCTTATAGTCCATGATAAACAATGATGGAATAAATAATGGAAAAAAAATTTTTGTGATTGCTTAACTAGGTAGTTCTGCTAAACACTATAAAGGGAAACCAAACTCTTAAACTTACTACTGTATTTTCTGTTAACATCAGCTTAGACTGAAACAATATGCTAAACAATCTAAGTCAACAAAAGTCTACAGAGAAGTTGATTCAGAGGTAAATACATTTGTTCATTCCTTAATTTACTCATTCAACAAACATTTAGTACTTATCACAGGCTGGGCTCTGCCTAGGTACTGGAGTACATACAGAAGAAGCCAAGCCCCTGCTTTCATGGAGCTTTCACTCAAATTCAACTCAATTTTATAACAATGTCAAATTACACAAAGGACTTCAACTTTAAAGTTTTCCTTCCAGACCGTTTGATTGGGATACTTTCATAAAATCTATATTAGTGTGCTGCCTCTATTCAGAATTCAAAATGAATAAACTAAAATTCTACCCTTCCTTAAAAACCTACTTAGAAAAGAACACAAAAGTCTTTTCTTATAAACAATACTATGAAATTGAGAATCCCAGAATTTAGTCATGAAGAATCTGAGTTTATCTAATCTCATCACCTGTAAGAGAAAGTCCTCATGAAGAATATGTGAAAAATTATCATGTATTAAAACAAGAATCCCAGAAGCACTATATGCTAATCTTTATTGAATCAGTTTACTAACTCTTCTTTGTTAGTAAATTCCACAGTTGATAACAATTACCTGTTCATATGCCCAAAACTTAACAGCTGTCTCAGGAGCAATTTTAATGACATTTGTACCATTTCCTCTCCAAAGGGAACGGATGCCTCCTTCTTTCACCATCTGCCGAAAGCCACCAAATATGTTCATTTTGTCTGATTTTGAACCATGAACCTAAAAATAAAAGAAAAGTGATATAAAATACAGGTGACATATTATTGTTACTCTTTCTAAAGTAACCATACAATCTATTTCAATACTGTTTATAACCGTAAGAAGATGTATTTGAAAATAAAATATAGAAGGTTGAGAAAATATATTATGATAGGAGGGAGTATTACAGCCATTTTAGAGTCCTGTTTCTGAATCTAAAACTAACTGATATCCTCACTGTGGGAAATCAGACAGAGAGGACATGATCAAAATTAAAATTACTATGAACAACAGTCATAAGATAAGGTGAATGAAATTATGTGTTAGGCTTTGGAACACCCTTTGAAACATAAACAAGTTCAGTTTAAGAGAAATAATAAAGGAGTATACCAGAAGTAATATTACTTCCTCCCCACAAGAAGTCGTACATACATCAACTATAAACGGGTCTTAAAATAATTTGGGCATTGTGCATATCAGAGCCATAGACACTGGAATGAACACAGCCTAAAACCAAAACTAAAAATTGTACCTCCTACAGCACATCTCGAGGACTCTCTAGACAATAAATTATGACATGTGCCAACTGTCTAACCCAGTCAGTGAGTACTGAATTACTTGGCTTATACTACAGATGTGGTAGCCATTTAAATACACTAGACTTTATGATTGCATATATATATATAAACTAAGTCAATCTAATAAACAAAAATAAAGAAATCAGCTATTCTTCTGATTCTTTCAACTTACACAAAATGAGTGACTACCACTAACAAAACAAAGCAAGATGGAAGGGGTTGAAGACTGAGGGTCAGCTCTGTGGCCAGTATGTAACTGAGCCCAAATAAGAGTCTGGACACCAAAGGCTCAGGTTGCCTGGTTGGTTTGCAACACTCTGTTCATATTGTTACACTTCAGTGCCAGGAAAGTAACAAGACTCCACAGGGAGAGGACAACAGAAGCTCTGCATGTGATATTTCCCCCGACTCAGCTCACTTCTAGACTTGACTGATTTTAATCTGTATCTTTTCCCCATAATAAACCATAACCATGAGTATAACAGCTTTCGATAGTTCTGTGGGTCCATCTCATGAAGTATCAAACCTGACCTGAAAGTGACTTTATGAACTCCCCTAATTTGCAGGAACTAAAATGTAGAGAAATCTATTTTATTTTGAATAAATAAGCTTCACGATAAAATATGACACAGAAGAAGATGAATGCTTATTCGAGCTCTCTCAAAGTCAGTTTACTATTGTTCCTAAAGAAAAACACACATACCAGTTCCCTCTCCTTTTTCTTTAAAGCACTATCTTTGTCCCTAAATAAATTTTTGGTATGAGGCACATTCTGAAAGGATGCTAGCTTAAAATATTGTCAGAAATCTTTCCATACAGAAATCTAAGGACAAATATAAAAAGTATTGGCCATATGTATAAGAAATGCAACTTTTAAAAATACTTTTTAAGCAACTACTGTGTTCCAGTAGGTTATTCAGTATATCAGGCATTTTCACTTACCTTATATCACTTAATTCTTACAACCACCCTTTCAGATACACTTATTCCCATTCCAGAATGAAGGAAAATGAAACCTCAGAGTGAGAACCAGGAGCTTTGGAGGCAAAGATACTCCATTCCTTGTCTAATTTGTTGTAAAGGAAAAGTTACTTAATTCTCCGAGCCTTAGGTCCCCCGTGGATAAAGTGAGGACAAATACCTACTTCACTGGGCTACTGTGAGGATTAAATGGGTTACCATAATGAGCACCAAATAAGTATTAATTATTTTCCTTTCCTTCTTTCTACTCTGGCCAGCCCAAGGCTACACTGCTAGTAAATGGCCGAGTCAGTCTATAAATCTAGGTCTTTTTCTGCTAACCGTACCTTTAGAATAATTTTTAAAATTACATTCTTGTTCCAAGCTTCTAGATTTCAGAAATACCCCACTTTTGATAAAGTACATAAAACAGAAGGAAAATACAAATAATTAAGGAGAACCCTACAATAATGACCAGAGTTTTTTTAATTAAACATTTTAATAGTTGTAGAACACCAAAGATTAAAAGCTCATTACATACAAGTACCAACAATTCAAGGTTTGGTTGAACACTGCAATACTTACATGGACTAAATTTAGGGTTAATAGCAATAAAACATTTTTTGGAGGTATGAAAGACTGAGAAATTTTAAAACGTTTTCAAAGAAGCACCACATTTCTCATTCTTTTATAATATTTAGCACAAACTCAGGCGTAAGATCAAAAAGCTCACCTGCATCATGATCTTCAGGCGATCTAAAGGGGCCGTGCTTGTTCTAGACACCGCACCAGCGATACCTCCTGCCAAAAGCTGCCTCCACCACTGCCCGGACTTTTTTTCATCTTCTGTGAATTCATCCGGAATGGTTAAACTATCCCCTATGTCAATTCCCTGTTAAAACGCAAAAATGGTCCCCATGATCTTTCAGATAAAATAGGTAATCTCAGAAGGGGTTTTTTTGTTTTGTTTTGTTTTAGAGAAGAATTATGTGTTATTTTACAATTACGGTCAACTGTTCTCTTCAGAATTTATACTGAACCGGGGCTGACCCCGTGGCTCACTCGGGAGAGTGCGGCGCTGGGAGCACAGTGGTGCTGGTAGCTCCGAGGCCGCAGGTTCGGATCCTATATAGGGACAGCCGGTGCGCTCACTGGCTGAGTGCGGTGCGGGCGACACCAAGCCAAGGGTTACGATCCCCTTACCGGTCACACATACACACACACACACACACACACACACACACACACACACACACACAGAATTTATACTGAACCAATTTGAGCATACAGATGATTGCAAATAGTCTATTCACACTAAGCAAAGTGCAGTATCTATTCACAAGAAATGAACATTAACAGTAATTTACAAAAACAACAATTACAGGCCCACCCCGTGGCACACTCGGGCGAGTGCAGCGCTGGGAGCACAGCAGCGCTACCACCATGGGTTAGGATCCTATATAGGGATGGCTGGTGCACTCACTGGCTGAGTGTGGTGCAGCCGGTCACAAAAAAGAACAAAAAAAAAAAAAAAAGAAAAATATTACAACTAACTTTTTAAATAGATTTGGAGTAACTTTTCTCCTCTTGGTCTAAGTAGAATAAAATGGCTGCATTTATCAGGTATAGTGAATCCTTTTTAGCTACAGCTACTTTTCATAATGCTAGAAAACCACATCCAATTGGTGATAACACCTTTTAATAGTCAATTATTCAAAGGTATTCCCTTTATCTCAAAATTGTATCCACATTATACTTTATACCATGATATATGCTTTAAACACGTAAATAAAAAATTAAATTAAAGCTATGTATGTAAATACCCCTAAACTCATTTCCTATATTGACTATCTGTAAATATTTTTATAATTCTGACTTGTTATTTAAAACATGCAATAAGTTCTATATATAATTTAGCTAACAGGGAGGTATTGTTTGAAATGATGACCCCTCCAATCTATTCTAAACATTACTATAGATTACAAACATACTTTGAAGGAAACAAAGTTCTATAATAGTTTTTTTTTTTTTTTTCCTTTTTGTCATGACCGGTAACAGGATCGCAACCCTTGGTGTCGCGCCCGCACCGCTCTCAACCAGTGAGCAGACCGGTCTCTATATGGGATCCGAACCCTCAGCGAGAGCGCCGCCGCGCTCCCAAGCACCGCACTCTACCGAGTGCGCCACCGGGCCGGCCCAAAGTTCTATAATAGGTTTACAACTTTATTATCTAAACGATTTTGGCATAAAAGATTTTATAGGCAAGAGTGCGAGGGTAAGGAGCTATGCTGTGGCAGTAACCCTCTCTTCTTTCATTTTACTATCAGTAAAAAGGACATGATTGTAACCTCAACTGTTATCAACTATCTCCAAAGATAATAAGAAGCATGTAAATAAAACTTTAAGTATAAATTTATCTAGGCAACTGAACTACAAATATAGTATTATCTTATATTCGTAGTTGAAAAGGCATTAATCATCAATAATTTTATAATGCTGCATGCAAGCTTAGGCATTGTTCCTAGTGGTGATGTGAACTCTAGGCTTCATTTAGTGCATATTAAATTTACCAAAATTTATGAATAAGTATAGAAGACAAGCCCATCAGGGGAAGAAAAAAAAAATCCTTCAGAGAGTTCTCAATGGTTTCAGGAGCATATGGCACAAAAATAGAACTTCATTTACACCAATATATTCTAAGACAATATTAATGAAACAATCAAAATTTGAAAGTTTTGTGAAATATAAACTGGTGTAAAATGCTGAGCAGATGAGCCAAAAAGATTTTGGAACCTTTACTGATTATTATAAATGTCTTATGTCAGAGATATATCTAGGCAGTCTGACGAAACAAGCCAAAGTTTCAGAAGGGACCTTTGGCCCTAACATCAATGGCCACGAAAATAGATCCTTGGCAATCATGAAGTATTGAGATTATTTAGGCAATATAGAATGTTTCTATAAAAAGTAAAAGCCTATGACTTTTACACTTCCCTATAGCAGAATATGTAAATACCAATTAAAGCAGGGCAGTTTATTTATCAAGATGGTACTTCTCCCAAGTTTTGAGAATGGCTGTGTTTATGCTGTCTTAGGGTTTTTTAAGATAGTCTATAAATCTATGCATAACAGTATAAACAGAACTCTGCAAGTTAAGAAACTACCGGGACTTGGGCATTCTGTTCTCGGGTGATAACTATACCTATGGCTTACAGCTCCAGATAAATAAAAAGCACACTTACAGTAGAATGTTTCCAGAAACGGATAATTTCCTCAATGTCTGTAACAGGATTAAATAAGAAGTAGTCCCTCCATTCATTCCAGTCCACTGTCATTGTCCCATCAGCATCAATGCTGAAAATTTAAAAAAATGATTAAAGAACAAACCAAAATTGATGAATAAAACAAACATTATTGGCTATTTTAAAGAATGACAGTTTCTTTTCCAACTTAATATTCTTATTAAATTAAAAAATCCCACTGACAATTATAGGTTGCTAGAAATGGCAGCAAGCATTTTACACTCCTGTCAGATAGTTTTAATTATCGAGACAAAAATTACAGAGAGAGCTCACTAAAGACTATTTTCAGCACTCTGTCAAACTCTAAGTCAATGAGCTATAAAACACAAAAATTGGAAAATAAAATGTTGGGAGGTGGTAATGAATAGATTCATGATCTATTTTTTTCCTGCATTGATTCAGGAAGATATTCATGTTCTGTTGTAACATTTTGTTGTCATTTTAAATTATACTCAAAATATGCTGTCAATTTCCTTCTTGAACTTTCTCCAAGTTAAGAAAATTAGCAGTGATTGTAAAAAATCAAACTCTTGGTGACTGGGCCTTTTGAGTCTTAAGAAATCCTGGTACCTCATTTTCAACCTTAAAATTTACATACTGTAATCGTCAATATTCATCATTGTTTTTCTCGTTTTACGAGCTTCTTGGCAATAACGCCACTTACATCTGTTTTTTCCTATTAGCAACTATGAATTGTGCCAGGATTTTGACTGCTGTGTTCACCACTGTCTACCCAGCTCTTAAAGTGGCTGGTGCAAAGAAGGTGCTCATTTATTTGTTGAATTAATGACCGTCTCTGAAAATAAAAGTTTTGGTGTCTCCTCCAAATTTTATTCTACAATGGTACTTCAAAAAGTTTTGTGGAAAAATCTAATATAAGAAAATACGAATCCTTCCATGAACTTTTTGAAGACCTCTTGTGTAATTTTTGTGAAAATAATGCTTGAAGATGACAGTCAAATAAAATGCAACTTTCAGATATATATTATTATGTGTTTTCTAGTACCACTTTTCATTTTGACCTGCATATGTAAAATTGCACTGAACTTTCACTTGTCACAGCACACAGGTATTAATATTCCATGTCTGCATGACAGTCCTAGTCACTACTTATGTTCATAACATAATTTTAGATTGAAATATTTATAACTATATTTTTATCACTATTTTCTATTTTAATGCATTGTTTATTGTCTGACCCCACCCCCAAACTTCCCACACACAAGCATCCTCTACAAGGCAAGGATTTTTATTGATTTTTGTTCACTGATATACCCAAAGTGTCTAGACCAGTACCTGGAAAAGGGCAAACATTTATTGAGTGAATAAATGAATCCAGAATCTGTAGCTTAAAACAAAAGAACTCTTAATATCGAGAAACTTCTTAGGTAAGAGAGTCTCACTGTGGGTTTAATGTACTTCTCTTCAAATTACTAATGAGGTTGAGCCTCTCTTACCACATGCATTTGCTCTCCACCTCTCCCCTGTGTGAAATGCCTGTTCATGACTTTTGCCCATTTTTCTAATGGGTTCTATGTCTTTTTCTTATTTATAGATCTTTATATAGCTGATTCTAAATCATCAAGTTAAACGTTGGCAAATACTTCTCTTTGTCTTTTTACTTTCTTTACGGTATCCAAGTATAGATGCTCTTAATTTTAATGTAGCTGAATTTATCAATCTTTTCATTTTGGGCTACTGTTTTTTGTGTTTCTTTGTTAATTCTTCCCTACATTGAGATAAAGACATTCCTTTTACCTCCTGAAAGTGTTAGAGCTTAACTTTCATGCTAAGGCTGATGTTTGTGTATGGTGCGAGGGAGGTGTCCAATTTCGTGTTTGTTGGCAAGGATAACCGCGTGCACCAGCACCATTTATCACACTGTCTCTCCTTATCCCAGTGATGTGCAAAGCACTTCTCTCATGTGACAAATCCAAAATATGGATGGGTCTGTTTCTGGGCTCTCTATTATGTTCCACAGGTCAGCTTGTCTGTTTCTGTAGCAATACCACTGTCTTAATCACAGCTTCATAACAACTCTTGATAACTGATTGGGCAGGCTCCTGGCTCCATATGGTTCTTTAAGAATGTTTTGGGTATTCTTGGCCCTTTGTTCTTTGATATAAATTTGAGACAGCCTGAAAACTTCCTCAAAAAAACCACACAGGTTTTTTTCAATGGCATTGAATCTCTATTACCAATTTAGAGAGAAGGCACACCTTTTCTGTACCATCTCCTTTAATTATGTCTTCTAATAAAATTTTATAAGTTGCTTTTATAAATGTATTGATTGTGGTATATTGTTTTGCACATATGACTGATGCAGTTTGCTAATATCGTCTTCAAAATTTTCATATTTATGTCATAACTGATATTGGCCTGTAATTTCCCTCTTTCACTACTTGTCTGCTTTTGGTATTATGCTTATAAACAGAAAGGACTTGATAGTGTGCGTACTTCTACACTCCGAAAATGTTCATAGATCTGTTCTTTGATCGTTTGAAAGAACTATCTGGGGCTAAAGTTTTCTTTATGGGAACATTTTTAATTACTGATGTGACTTCTTTAATGATTTAGGTGCTACTGGATATTCTTCATACAGTTTTGGTAAGTTATATTTTTGTAGAAATTCATCTATTTCACATTTTTATTTTCAAATGTATTGGTATAAAATAATTCATAATATTTTATTATCTTTTAAAATTTTCTGATAGGTCTGTTTACAATCAAACAGAACATATTTACATCTCATTTCTCTTTTTTCTTCACCAATCTCTCCAAAGGTTTATCTTTTCCAACAACCAACTTTTGGTTTTATTGATCCTTATAGTGGATTGAGTTATGTCCCCCCAAAACTCATTGAAGCTTGACTTGTGTCCTCCAAGTTTTTTGTAATAGAAACTTAGTCCCCACTGTGACTGTTAAGAGAGTGGGAAATTCTATTATGGCAATTGCAAGGTGGAGCCTGGAAGAGCTGATTAGATTGTAGGACCCTGCCATAGTGAATGGATTAAACATGGTGGTCAGGGGAGTGGTTCTGAGGGCTTTAAAAGAAGAGGAGAGTCTGTCTTTCTCTCTCTCTGCTCTCTGCTTCCACCATCTTGCAACGTGAGACCTCTGGGTCGCTGTTGCCACCACCAGATGGACTTTGGACTTCCAAGCCTCAGAAACTGTAAGCAATAAATTTCGTTTTTCTTTGTAAATCAGCCAGTTCCATGTATTTTGTTATAAGTAACAGAAGCAAACTCATACAATCCTATTACTGTATCTTTGCTATGTAGTTGCACTACTGTCTTCATTATCTTTTTTCTTCTACCTTCTTTGAGATTATTCAGGTTTCTCTCCCCTAACTTAGCACATTAATTTTCAGTCTTAATTATTTTCTAATAAAAGCTATAAGGCTATGAAATCCCCCCCTAACTACCACCTTAGAAATATCCCACATGTTTTAATGTTTTCAAGTTTTTCAGGTCAAAGTATACTTTAATTTTCACTTATGATTTCCTCTTTGACCCATAAGTTATTGAGAAGTGCATATCATTTTTAAAATATTGGCATTTTGTAACTTATTTCTGTTATTAACATCTAACTTAGTGAATTGTGGTCAGAGAAGGTAGTCTTTGTGACACCAATTATTCAAAATGTGCGGAGCCTGGCTTTATGGCCTACTGTGAAATTAATTTTTATACATGTTCCATATGCACTTAAGAAAAATTATATACTTTGTAAAATTTTTTTTGCAAGTTTCCATTTATATGCCCATTAAATCAAGCTTGTTATTTATTTAAATCTTTTTGTCTTCACTAATTTTTTTCTCTGCTTGACCTATCAAACACAGACAGAATTATGTTAAAATCTCTCACTACTATTACAGATTTGTCAATTTATCCCCAGAATTCTACTAACCAGATTAAAAATTTTATATCTTTGTGGTGAATTTTAAAATGTGGTGACCCTATTTTCATTAATGCTTTTTTACCTTATAATCTATTTGTCTGATGTTAATATAGCTACGCAAGCTTTCTTTTGGTAAAACCTTTTTTGCTCTTTCTTTCATCTGACAATTTCTGTCTTTGAATAAAATTTATGTTAATTTTTACTTTGATATACATTAAAAGTCCATCATAATGTAAGTAGGGAAATGAAAATTTAATATGGCTTCTATCACTATGAGGTTAATAATATTTTTCAATTAATGTTGTATAGTCCATCACAAAAGTACTAGTATGAAAATATTGAAATTCATTATGTACCCACTAGAAGGCAATTACCCTCTCACTTACTCTCCACCCACCCCAAACCTTAGTGAAAGAAGATAAAAGCTTTATTTAGCTGCTCCATTGGAGAACAGAGATGGGGAAAATACCTCAGAGCATATTTTGGTGGGGTTTCGTTGTAGGTGAACTTATTTCTCCCATCTTACCTTTTGCTTTCTATCTGTCTCATTCTTTCTATGAATGTTTTCCTCCTTTTTCCTCTTTGTGGGATTGTCTGATTTTATGCTTTGTTTACTTATTTTCTTTTTTCATTTCTTCCCTCCCTGGTTTGGAAGCTATGTATTCAATTCCAATGCTGTTAGTGGTTTACCTCAAAATTTTGCCTTGTACATATAAGAAAGTCTAAAGGTAATGTTTGACCCCACCCTTCTGAATAAGAATCTTAGAACAGTTTAAAACAAACTATCCCCTCCTGACTTACGTATTATTATTCTCTATACTGTAGTTGTTCTTTTTCTTAAATCCCACAAATTGGTCATTATGATTAGATTCATGGCTGTTTCTTTTGTATCACTCAAACTGCCCATAAACCACTAGCTGAGAGATGGACCACTATGGTCTAGAGAGCATCCCGAGAAACACTGCTGGACCCACTGCCCATACATGCTTCCCTGGCTGCACATGCCCTTTCTCCTATCTAGAATGCCCTTCCACCCACCCGTTCACTAGGATAACTTCTACTCATTCCTCAACGCATTCCTCAATATTTTCCAAGGGGCCAGTATTACAAAGTTCTAGGCACAGAATAATTAGGAAGATACCCATGGTGCCCTCAAAACTTACAGTGTAGCAAGAAAAACAGGCATTAAATGATAGCAAGTAGTAGCTAATATTCACTGAGCATTTGCTAGGCATTGTTCTAAGCACTTCACATATTAACTCATTTAATCCTTCAAACAAATCTAGGTACTTACTATTGTCTCCATTTTATAGACAGAGAGAGGCTAAGTACCTTGTCCTAGATTAAGTCACAGGGCTAGTATTAGGGTGGAATTAAGTATTTCAACCCAGGCATTCTAACTCCAGAAACTGTACTTCTAACCACTAAGCTCTACAAATATGCCATGGTTACAACCATAAGAGCCATGAAGCAGAGAAACAAGTTGCACAGATAAAGAATAACTGGCGTGAAGGGGGGAGAAGGGCTAATTTAGAAAGGTGACACAGCTCTGAGATGAGAACTAAAGGCTAATAAAGGATGGGGAAGGGGTCTAGTCCCTTAGGCAGTGGGAATTGCATGTAAAAAGTCTCAAGTTGGAAAACTCTTTAGTTAATTGAAAGAACTGAAAGAAACTTGGCTAGAGTACAGTCAACACATTTCACACCTGACCAGCTTGACTTCTTCTTGGAGGAAACAGATAATGGTCAGTCCAAAGAGAGGAGGAGGAAACAATAACATGGTGAATATTTGGAATAGTCACTGTGGGGAATGGAAGAGAAAAGTGACCAGGAATACAGATAAACGGAGCTTCAGTTCTAAGGTCCAGCTGAGAATAAAGATTGTTTGTTTTAAGGGTACTAATCTGCACAGCTCAATTTTTCTTTAGAAGTGTTTAATGGCCCAAATGTTGGGGCAAGAAGGATATTGGCAGGATGCTTCAGGATTGGGGAAAAGCAAGTGGAACCAATGGAAGGTATCGATGAAGAAGAGACTGACGGATTGGTGGAAATGAGGGGGCAAGTGGTCTTGACATCAAAAAGCAAGTGCTGAGGGAGCAAGACCATGTAAGCTCTGGAAGAGGAAGGGTCAGGTTATAACCCAATCCTGAAGCAGAATGGAATTGAAAGTCTTAGGTGTTGAGGCAAGCAGCACTAAAGCTAAGGGAAAAGATGAGTCATCTGCTGGAATATAAAAGTTTCCTAGGACTGCTCGGCAGATGCAAAGGTCCTCAATAAATGTGGGGAGAGAAACAGAGATAAGAAAAATAAGAAAGAAGAGGGAAAATGAAATGGAGATGAAAGCCTAAAATAAAAATGGATTTTTACTTGGGAGCAGAAAATAAATACAATATATGTGGTCCACGTGTTTGGGAGTGACTGTTTATTTCACTACTTCCAACCCACAGCTTCTACTGAAAAGTGTAAAAAGAGGGTATATTTCAACCAAGTGACTCCTCTCTTATAGTCTGATGACCTAGCCACAGCTGTTTCCATCAGGACCTTTCACAATTTTGGTACTGAGTACCAATCAGCTCCTCTCATGAATTTGGACTTGGGACACTAAGAGACAAAGAAATGGTAGGAAAAAAGCTGACATTTGAGTTACACGAGTTACACTCATGACTGAGCATGCAAGGGAAGGTCCAGGATGTCCACTACTGAAAACTCTGATGACATTCAGCCTTTTAAAAATGTTTCTAGTATTTTTTTTCTGAAAAGGTATAAACACTAGCAATGGTAATAAATGGCCCAACTGTACAAAAGAACATACAACCATCAGGGAAATTAGTCATCGGGGAAATAAAAATCAAAACCACAGTGAGAGACCACTCCATACCCACTATGTATTAGTCAGGGCCCTCTAGAGCAAGAGAACCAACAGATGATTAAAATCAAAAGACAGTGACAAGTTTTGGTGTGGATATGGAGAAAGTGAAAACCTCACACATTGCTGCTGGGCTTGTAAAATGGTGAAGCCACTTTGGAAACAGCTTGGCAGTTCTTCAAAATGTTGAACATAGAGTTACCACATATCCCAGTAATTGCACTCCAAGCTATATACCCAAGAGAACTGCAAAGATGTGTACACAAATGATCATAGATGTATACATAAATGATCACAGCAGCCTTATATGAATAATAACCAAAAAGTGGAAACAACCCAAATGTCCATCTATTGATGAATAAATAAATATGCTATATACACAAAATGGGATATTAATTGGCCTAAAAAAGGAATAAAGTACTAATACATGCTGCACCATGGATGAACCTTGACAGCGTCATGCTATGTACTGAAACAAAACACTCCACCCCTCAAATATGTACAAGTAATGTTAAAATATTTTGCATTAAAAAAATCATGCTAAATGAAAGAAGCCAGACACAAAAGATCATATATTGTATGATTCCATTTATTTGAAATGTCCAGAATAGGCAAATTCATAGAGACAGAAAATAGGTCTCTAGTGGTTGCCAGGGGCTTGCAGAAGGAGGAGTGAGAAATGACTGCTAACAGGGATGGGGTTACTTTTAGGGGTGATAAAAATGTTCTAAAACTAGATAGTGGTGATGGTTGCACAACTCTGTGAATATATTAAAAATCACTGAATTGTACACTCTAAAAGAGTGAATTTTATGATATGTGAATTACTTCTCAGTAAAGCTGTCATTAAAAAAAGTATACATACACACACACATAATTGTATAGCTACTCTTAAATATCCACCCCTCTGTATTACTCTTGGTTATGGACTGAATTGTGTCCCCCCAAATTCATATGTTGACTCCCTAACCCCCAATGTGGCTATATTTAGAAATAGAGCCTATAAGAGGTAATTAAAGTTAAATGAGATCATAAGGTGGGGCCCTAATACAATAGGACTATGGCCTTATAAGAAGCAGCAGCAAGAGAAAGAGATCTGTCTCTCTCTGTCACTGCATCTCTCTCTGCCATGTGAGGACACAGCAAGAAGGTGGCCACCTGCAAGCCAGAAATAGCCTTTACTGGAACCTGACCATGCTGCCACTCTGATCTCAAACTTCTAGCCTCCAGAACTGTGAGAAAATACATTTCTGCTGCTTAAGGCACCCGGCCTGTGGTATTTTGTTATGGCAGCTTGAGCTGTCCATTACATCTTGGTCTATTCCAGAGCTTGGGCTTGGAGTCTGCATCATTCCTAAAGCTATCAAAGGGAATACAGGAATGTGATTACTGGCCTAAGAGTCAGGTAAAATCCTCATTTCCCGGCATTGGTGACTTTAGAAGTAAAGTATTATATGCTCCATATCTCACTGTCAAAATTCTGTTTGGCTACTTTTCACATTTTAGTTTTTCATGTCCTCGGGAATGCCCTTCTCATCCAGTGCTAACAAAAGTAACTCTGTGCTCAGCCTTAGGACTTCAAGATTTCCCATTGAGCAGCTGCTTATAAAAGAAATGCTGAACAGACAGGAGAAAAACATTCTGTTTCTGGTACAGATATAAAAGAAGATCAATTCAACAGTAAATCCATTTAGAAGAAAGGTTTTAGATAATGTGAAGACTGAAAACATTTACGAGAATATTAATATAACATAATCATCTTTTCGTATTTTCCGTTATCATAAAAAATTGATCCCTGCCATATGTTTGTAGCAAAAAAGTATTGAGAGCACCTGGACTGTGGAGATTATTGCTCTATCCGGTGAAATAAAGCATTAAGTCTGCAAAAATTCAACTTACCAAATAGTTGAATTGATTGCCCTGGACAATAATGTTCAAATTGGCATCTCTGTGTTCTGAGAGTTTAAATCAGTATTTCTCTGTTAGCCAGAAGAGCTTTGGGATTTCTCTCTTATCCAGTCATATGTAGGTTAAATAATGTGATGAGTCTGCTAGCGTCCTCATCTTGAAACAATGAGTTCTACGATCACATTAGAAACAAAACAGGGGGAAAAAAGAAACACCAAAACTCTCCAGCTCCTTATGTATAGATTTAACACCTTACTGCCCTTCCACTGCCCCCTAGAGGCCTTGCAAGAAAGAGTCTAGTCTGAGGTTTCCCATTGCTACGCTTTAGATGTATGAGCGCTTACAAAATGAAAAGGAAGAAAAAGCAAAGAAGGGTTTTGGATGTATGTAACAAGGAATGGTGAGGTACAAATTGCTGTTTTAAAGCCACACTTTCAAACACAGATCTCTAATGCAGGATATTAAAATGAAAATCAGAATCAGAAGCAACTGTCAGTAGGAGGAAGAGCTCACCTTTGAAGAATCAGCTCTGCTTGTTGTTCAGAAATAGTTAGACCCAGTGTCTGGAGAGACTGAACAATTTCTGAAGCCTCAATTTTTCCTTTAAAGAAATGAAAAGGGCATAAACTCAGACTCAGAATTGACAAAGACCTTAGAATCCACGAATTTCAAATTTCGCATTTGAGAGAAAGGCTTGAACTGATTAAGGCAAAATTACGCGTTTAGGTGCATTATAGATTTGCTTATATACATATTGCAAAACCAATACCCCAAATTTAACCAATACATTAAACAAATATATACACATTATTTAATTCAGTAATCATAACAGCTTTGTAGATAATGATATTCCTTTGAATAAGAAGACAACTAGAGCTCAAATGCCCTTACCAAGTAATGTAACTAAGAAGCAGCAGAACTGAGATTCAAATCAAGATATTCTAACACCAAGGTAAATTTAATTAAACTAGGATCTATTCATTTTAAAAGTACCTATTTCCACATTTTAGCAAATGACTTTATTATGCATAAAGTCATATTATGTAGTTGAAGAAAAGGAGAAAATGAGGAGACAGGGCCAAAGCACAGACTATTCTTTGAGAAATATGGCAGTGAAAATAAAGAGAGCAAAGATAGAAGGGCAATGGAAGAGAGAAAAATTTTTAGTATTAGGAAAATGAGAGCATGTTTGTGGACAGAAGGACAGCAATCAGAAGAGAGGAAGAAAGAGAAAATAGAAAACAGAAGCAATACATTTAAGCAACACTGCTTTTCCCTCAAGCAGCTCAACAGGGTCCCAGGAAAGATACACATGAAACAGGATGAAACAAAACAAAGCAAGAGAGGGTCTGGTGCCACAGCAGCATAAACAGCCAACTTCTCCAGGAACAGCAGAAGATAAAAACACTGTTAGTGGTGAAAGGAAAGACTTTACTAAGAGGAGGACCTGGAAGAAAGGACAGGATTGTGAAAGAATCCTTCCGGGAAAGGAAAGGAGCAGCAGGAGAGTCTGAACAATGCAGTGTCAGGAAGAGGCAGCATCTGGCAGTGACATTCTTCACATACCACTCTGAATATTCTCCTTTACACTGCGCTCCTAAAGAGATACAATCACTTCTTGTTATTCCAGTAGTCATGTTCTATAGAGTCACTGCCAACACTAAATTAGCAAATACTGGACCACTGCTCCCACAGGAAGTACAGGGTTAGGTTCCTGTGAGCCTCTGATCACAACATTTTCATCAGTTGATCAACACATAACCTTATCTCGTCTGTTTCTGCTTAAAGGCAGCTCATTTAATGTACATTGTTAATTCACTAATATCAAACTCACAGTGAAGCTTATCTAAGGCATGGATTTTCTCTGTAAGGCACACCATGGCCTTCTTGCATTTAGGAACGTGAGACAGCACTTCAGCACTATGTTTGGGGAACATTTTAAAAAGCAAAATTACCAAACAAAAAGTACAAAAAAGCAAAAAATGTGGCACAAAATAGCCCTCAAAAAGGACATGTTTACAGTATGACAGCTGAAAAAAGAAGGCCTTATTCTACATCTCGGCTAGCAATGCACATCTTGAGCAACTCAAATTTTTCACTGCACTGTGCGTGCCCATGAGCGATCGGGAAAGTGCTGCAAGCAGACATTCGGGGGTTCCTCTGGGGGCTAAATTTTAGCAAGTAGGCAAATTCACAAATCCAGAATCCACGAATAATGAGGATCAACTGTATGTGCTTCCTTTAAATAAATCTGATACAATATAAATCTATAATGGGAAACTGTTTCAAAATACACAAGATAAATTAAGGGAACATTGTTCACATTTACAACAAATGTATCATTAAAATTTCATCTTTAATTATTTCTTCCAGTTCATTTAGAATTTTCTTAAATGGACAATTGAAGTGTGCACAATTTACATACACTGGGATGATCAACCCTAATTATCCGGCAATTGATCCTGTGGTAGCTCCACCTCTCAGCGACTACTTGCCTTAACAGTATACAGATAATCTTATCGCTGCAGCTGAACTGTAGAGTTGTCAGGCTGGGAGGAAAATTTGCAGGGAAGAAGGAAAGCTGATTGTAAAAACTGAATTTTGCTAGAAGATTGGATTAAGGCCAGATCTGGGGGCATGTAACATAAGGCTTAGTAGAGGAGTAATGTTCCAGCAGTACTATTTTCCAAAACAAACTCAGCTCTTCTGGACTGAGAGTCACAGACTTGAACAATCATCAAGTTGTTTATTTGTTTGAAGGAATTTGTTTTTCTGTGTGTTTGTTTTTTGCTTTGTGGCTGTCTGGTAGGGGGATCCAGACCTGTGACCTTCGGGTTATAAGGCTGCACTCTAACCAACTGAGCTAACTGGCCAGCGCTGAAGGAACTTGCTTTGAATTTAACTGAAGTTAATGTTCAGCTTAAACGAGGGCTGGCAAACAGGCCCTCAAGACAAATAGGGCCTGTTGACTATCTTTGTAATAATATTTTATGGCAGTGAAAATAAAGAGAGCAAGGATAGAAGGACACTGGAAGAGAGAAACAATTTTAGTATTAGGAAAATTAGAGCATGTTTGTGGACAGAAGGGGAGCATGATTACACATCCTGCCCACTCATTTACATATTGTCCACGGCTGCTTTTGAGCTGCCACTGCAGAGATGAGTAGCTACAACTGAGACCACATGGCCCACAAAAGCTAAAATATTTATTATCCAGACTTTTACAAAAGAATTTGCCAAACCTTGATATAAACATATTTTCTATTTACTTAACTGGCTTCTTGACTAACAAGTCTGTGAATGGAATGACACTTACTATTCATAAGTAGGCAGGGGTTTGGGGCTACATTATAATTTTTATAAATTCCCTCCTCCTATCAAAGTTTGCCTCTGGTGATGAGGGCTTCATGGCTCCTCCCTTACTCCTGCCATGGCCCTTTCTTTTTGCCCTAAATAACCGGGACTCTAATTCCAAGTTATTAATCTAAATAGAGAAATCATAATCCCAACCGGAAGGTGCATACTTAAATGTCCAGATGCTTTATTTTCTTTCTAATTTTCAGGATCAGAGAGCATCTTCTCTAAATTCTTTCAAAAAGAGTATCAAATGTAAGATAATCTGAAAGTTTTTTAAGTTTTAAAATATATAATATTCATGCCTATCTATACGAGGTGGTTTCAAAAAGTTCATGGAAAGATTTGTATTCTTTTTCCTATTGTCTTTTAATTCTATTTTTTCATGAACTTAAGTACCCTCATATACGAATATAGCCATGAATATATAAACAAACAAAATATATACAATCTCTTACCCACAGGATAAAATATGATTATTATTTTTACCTAATAGCTTTAAGTCAAATCAGTATAATATTCCATAGTTAACATTTTACAACAGGCCTTACCTACAGTTTTTAATTCAGTGTACAAAGCTATCAATAACTTTTCTTCACTAAAAATATGAACTCTACATAAAAACCACATTACCAAGAAAAACAAGTATCAACCAAAGTAATAATTATCATCTAAAAAATGAGAAACCAAACATGCATCATTTTAGACTCCTGGAAGCATGAGAGTGCTGGTGATGAATAGCAAGGAAAGACAGACCATCATTATTTCTGTCCAAACTCTTAAATGCCAGTTTCATTTTTAACTCATGGTCTTTAAGGTACTTCATAAATTCTTCAAAATCCAGCTTCCCATCCTTGTTGATATCTCCGGTAGTAAATATTTTCTACAAAAAAAAAAAAAAATACTTAGAGATATTTTATTGCCAATATGGACTAAAGTACCAAATTATTTGTAAACATACCTTGAGCAGATTGGCTATTTTCCTATAAGACTCAAGTACCAATTTCGACCAGTTATATATCATTATCCATTATGGTAAAGATCTATAATAAAAGTAACTATACCAAAAACTATAACAAAAAGATTCCAGATCTTGTGTTAAATTTCCAATTAGAAAAATAATGCACTGATTTCTATAAAAACATGGCATTTTTAAAGCTAATGTAATCACACCCTGAATTTCTTGACATGTACTTTATAAACCCCAAGATAGAAGACAAACCCTTCACCAATCATAGGATTTAAATGTCTAAAATAGTATTTTTCCCTTTGATATCCAAAATTAAATAATATCTTCTTATAGATGATCTTTATAAAAAGCTGTCATATCAAACTGTCTATTTCTGTTAATAAAAATCATTGTTTTTGAGAAAGAAGACCTTATGAAATCTGATATTACATACAAGCCCTCTCCCACTGCCACCCAAAATATATATTCTATATAATATAAACTTTCTACCTATTAAGACACAATAACCCACCCGAACCTTACAAATTCTATTGTTCTGATGATGGTCATGCTCTTCTGGGTAAATAACGCCACATTGTGGCAGGATTGTATAATGGTCAGACCTCAAAACTCTGGAGACTCAGAGAAAAATATCTAAAACTTGTGAGCTATAACTAAAGCTATGCTTAGAGGGAGACTTATGGTTTTAAATGCATAATTAGAAAAGAAGAAAGGCTGGAAATCAATGACCAACCATTGAGGCTTGCCTCAATCTCAAGAAATTAGGAAAAAAAATAAACAAAAATGAAGGAAAGAAATAAAGATAAAAGCAAAAAGTAATGAAAAAGAAAACATACCACTGAGAAGATCAACAAAGTCAAAAGGTGGCTCTTTGAAAAGAGCGATAAAATTGATGAACTCCTGAAACTGGCGAATAACCACTGTCAGAAAGTAAAGGAGATCACTAGACACTACTGATATTAAAGATATTATATCAAAAATATGAAAATGAGATAAAATAGACAAGCACCTAGAGAAAGAGAACTTATGAAAAATTGACATAAAACTATAGAAAATCTGAGTAGTCCTTTAAGTATTAAAAAAACTTAATCTGTAGGGCCGGCCCCATGGCACACTCGGGAGAGTGCGGGGCTGGGAGCACATCGATGCTCCCGCCACGGGTTTGGATCCTATATAGGACTGGCTGGTGTGCTCACTGGCTGAGCGCGGTACTGGCGACACCACACCAAGGGTTGTGATCCCCTTACTGGTCACGAAAAAGACAAAAAAAAAAATTAATCTGTAATTTAAAGCATTCCCACAAAGAAAATTCCATGCCCACATGGTTTTAACAGTAAACTCTATCAAACTTTTAAGAAAGATATAACACCAATTTCCTAGAAAATTTAAAAGGCAGGAATATTTCCAAGCCCGTTTTATGATGTAAGTATAACCTTGATTCTAAAACCTGTGAGGAACATCACAAAAAAGGAAAATTACAATCAATGTCACTAGTGAAATAGATGCAAAACTCCTAAATAAAATGCTAGCAAATCAAACATAACAATATATAAAATGGATAATATATACGTATATGTATGTGTATATAGACATATGAGGATACTTCAAAAAGTTAATGGAAAGATTCATATTAACTTTCGATTTTATTTTTCCACAAACTTTCTGACATACCCTCATGTATAGATATAGACAGATAATAAGTAGATGGCTGTACTCCAGTAATGCCAGGTTGGGTTAACATTTAAAAAAAAGACAGAGAAATCTTATAATTTAACACATTGACAGAATAAAAGACAAAAGTCATATGATTATCTTAATAAACATTTCATGGATTCAACATCATTCATGATTAAAAACTCTTAGCAAACTAGGAACAGAGAGGTGCTTCTTTAGTCGGATAAAGGGTCTCTATAAAGAATTCCAGCCTTTTTTGTTTAAGCTAGTTTGAGTGGGATTCTCTTACCTAAAACATAAATAACATCGATTAAAGCATCATGAATCACTACTGACAATTTTAAAAGTAAATACTTTTTTATAATGTCACTGAAAAATAATTACTATTTTACAAATTAGATTGAAGATGATCTTCATCAGGAAATTATTTCTTGATTATTCAAAACACATACTGAGATTTGTATAATTAAAGAGAAAATGTCACAGCATTCTGGGGGCTCATTTACATACTGAAGTTTCATCTCAGAAGTTTATATTTTAGTCAATGGAAATATCAATGAACAGCTATCATTTTGGAAATTACAAGTTAAAGATCATTCCTGATGCTACCTTTGAACAATTCAATTATTTTTTTAATCCATATTTCTGCAACCTTTCTTATGGTAAATAAATAGTCCCAGAGTTTTTATTGCCTAATGATTCCAAATTAATGATAATATGAAAGACTAGGGTTTCTCTTTTGAATTTTCTTATTTATTCCTCTGTGGAAATAAATGAAGACCAACCAAATGAGAAAAACAAAAGCTATTTATCCTGAGCTTGCTCAATAGCAAGGGAGTCAGCCACTGTCACTTGCATTTTGGCAGAGACTCAATGACAGACAGAGGAGAGGGAAAGCTTTATAGCAGATAAAGGGAAGGCTTTGGGTGTGCCCGCTGCTGGCATGGGGAAGCCGCAGGTGACTAACTAAAAGTGGACACCCATGTGATTAATTAGGGATGCATATCTGGCTTTCTCTGGTTGGTCCTAAACTGGAAGAGGGAACAAAATTTAAGGAAGCTGTCAGTTGTTAATCAAGTGCTGGCCATTTGAGGCTGATTGTTACAGAAGTTATTGCTTAGCTCCCCAGATTATTACTAGAGATAGCAATCTGACTTCCTGATAGTCTAGTATTGGAAACTGGTTTCCTGGTATCTTAGTCCATATTCTGCCACTTATAACAGTGTACCTGAAACTGTATAATTTATAAAGAAATGAAATTTACTTATTACAATTCTGGAGGCAGGGAAGTCCAAGGATATGGCTCAGCATCTGGTGAAGGCCTTCTTCTTGATGGGGACTCTATGCCGAGTCACGATGTGGTGCAGAGCATCACATGATGAGAGGGCAAGAGCATGCTAACATGCTAGCTCAGATCTGTTCTTCTTCATAAAAGCCACCAGTACCCCTCCCATGATAACCCATTAATCCATTATTGGATTAATTCATTCATGAGGGCAGAGCCCTCACGATGCAATCACCTCTGAAAGGCCCCACCTCTCAACACTGCCACATTAGGAAGTAAGATATAATGTGAGTTTTGGAGGGGACATTCAAACCATAGCACCTGGTCTGTTTATTATAGATAAGGGGCTGGTTTCCCAGGCAGGTTGCTGTAGGTTGTGGGTCAAAGCTCCACTATTACTTATGGTCTGACCATTATCTGTTTATATGTTCAGTTTCTCACCTTTCACAATTAGGAGCAAAACAAAGCAAAATATCATTCAGAAACCCTTAGAGAGTTATCACAATAAAAGTTACATATTTTCTATCTTGACATTACACAATGTAAGTACCATTTCTTTCTTCATTTTTTTTTAATCAATTGAATTCTTTGTCTACCTAAATGAATTTCCTACTAGGGAAGCTAGAGACATGTGGGAAAAGACCTCATATCAGAACTTCCTAGAGATGTGACTGTCACCTGAGGAAAAGTCACAACACTGCTCTTCTGAAATATAATGTTCCATGTGCTTGGTGCAAAGCCTTTCAAGGATTTCTCTCCCTTGCTTTTAACATGTGAGCCTTCATCAACCATCACTGGTTATACAAAGCCTTCTCTTAGCAAAAACAAAACACAAATTTGTAAAAAAAAAAATTTTTTTGTCTTGATAATGAGGCAATGTGTTTCAAAGGATTGAACTTGTTTCTGGCATAATCCAGAATTTTTTATGAAAGGCTAGTTTGTATCAAATAAGCAAATACAAGTCACACTTGCAAATCTAAATACATGAGTGGCTTTAAACAAACATAAAGAGCATTTAGCTTTAAAAAAAAAAAACACTTCAGTTTTTTTAAGAATTAAAAAAACAAAGTGAACTTTACAGAAATAACATTTTGGACTGGACTGGTCCACAGAGAGCATCCAGTCGAGGCCTCAGATATCACAGATGAGGAAACCAGGATGTAGTGCTTGGCATACAGAATGTGCTCAAAATACAACTGATCAATGACTGAATGGATGGTTAAAACAAATCCAAAATTCACATGGCTGATAGGAAGAGTTTTATTAAATCTTAACATGACAGAACTCAACTGACAGTTCTTTGAGCACAAAGTGCCAATTACCAGAAATAAATTCAACAGCCCTTACTCTCATGGATCTCCCAGTCTACTGGGTCAAACATCCAAAGAGCAAATATGATTGGAAAATAATAATTATACTCAATAATAATTTCCAAATGGAAAATAACTTGGAAATACTGTGATAGAAATATGCACAAGGCATTACACGCTGAGAAGGAGCCTATAATCTAGCCTGCTGGAAAGATAAGGGTTGGCAAAGGAAATGATGCCAAAGCTCAGTCTTGATAATTAAGGTCTGATAATTAAGACATGTTATGAGGAAACTTCAGCAATGGTGAACCCCCAAGAGTGCAAGTCACGTAAAAAGCCCTTCTTAAAGGAACCAAAACATAACAGAAAATTTCCAACGACCACTCAATTCCCAAACACACATAGAGAGATTATCCCAGTTCCCAAACCGGGGAGGAAGCACCTTTGGCCTAGACACCCATCCAGGCTACTTATGACAGATGTGCACATTGAACAAGGTGACCCCTAAGACCAAGGCTGCAGCCAACATCTTGAGTGCAATCCAAATCTGGAAATTCTATTATAGCCAGGGAAAAACATAGAAATGTTTGGGGGAAAGTATCAGCTGTATTGGGTTTTCCTTAATAAACCATAATGTTGGTCAA